GTGTTTTCATGGATGTAATTGAGTTCCTTGGGTTGGAATTTTCCTTCTAGTACTTTCTGTAGTGCTGGGTTTATGGATATATATTGTTTAAATCTGTCTTTGTCACGAAATATCTTGTTTTCTCTTTCTATGTTGATTGAAAGTTTTGTTGGGTATAGTAGTCTGGGCTGGCATCCGTGGTCCCTTATCCATATCTGTAAATCATCTGTCCAGGACCTTCTGGCTTTCAAGGTCTCCATTGAGAAGTTGGGTGTAATTCTGATAGTTCTACCTTTATATGTTACTTGGTCTTTTTCCTTTGTAGCTCTTAAAATTCTTTCTTTTTTCTGTATGTTTAGTGTTTTGATTATTATGTGGCAAAGGGACTTTTTTTTTTTGGTCCAACCTATTTGATATGCAGTTATTTTCTTGTACCTTTATAGGCATATCTTTCTCTAGGTTGAGAAAGTTTTTTTTTTATGATTTTGTTGAATATGTTTTCTGTATCTTTGAGCTGGGATCCTTCTTTCTCTATCCCTGTTATTCTTAGAATTGGTCTTTTCGTGGTGTCCCAGATTTCTTGAATATTTTGTGTTAGGAATTTATTGGATTTAACATTTTCTTTGACTGATAATCTATTTCCTCAATCATGTCTTCAACACCTGAGGTTCTCACTTCCATCTCTTGTACACTGTTGGTGATGCTTGTATCTGTAGTTCCTGTTCACATCCTCAATTTTTCCATTTCCAGAATTCCCTTGGTTTGTATTTTCTTTATTGTTTCTATTTCAGTTTTCAAGTCTTAAACTGTTTCCTGTTTCCTTCACCTGTTTGATTGTTTTTTTCTTGGCTTTCTTTATGAGATTTATTGATTTCTTCTAATTTTTGTTTGTCTTTTCCTCGACTTTAAGGGATTTTTTCATTTCCTCTTTAAGAGCCTCTATCATCTTCATAAAGTAATTTTTAAGTTCATTTTCTCATGTTTCAGCTGCATTGGAATGTTCTGGTTTTGTTGCTGTAGGATCATTGGGTGGTGCCATATTGCTCTTTTGTTGTTGAATGTATTCTTACACTGGTGTTTACTCATCTTTTCTTCCACTGGTTTGACTTTTGCCTTTGCCTCTTCTTCCAACTGTTGTGGTTTGAACCTGTGCCTATGTAGTCTGCTGGGGTTGCCAGGGAGGGCTAGCCATGGGGAGGTTATTCAGGTGCTTGGGGTTGTGCGGCAGGGTGGGTCTTGGTGGGACAGCTCCATTAGGTGGTGGGGTGGGGGCACAGCCTGGAGGCAGGTATCTCACCTGCTTGCAGGCTGGTGGAGACTGCCTTTTGTGTTCCTTTTAATCTCTCAAATTCATTCAAAATCCTGTAACCAAGATGATGACATTAGGAGATGCAAGTTTCTAGGGAGTGGTTAGGTTGTGGAGATGGTAGCCCCATGACTGATGGTGTCCTTTCCCTTACAGAAGTATTTCAGTTTCTTGAGTCTCATTTATTAATTGTTGATCTTAGTGCCTGTGATATTGGTTTCCTGTTTAGGAAGTTGTCTCCTATGCCAATGTGTTCAAGGCTATTCTCCACTTTCTCTTCTATCAGGTTCAGTGTATCTGGATCTTTGATCCACTCAGACTTGAGTTTTGTGCAGGGTGATAGACATGGATCTATTTGCATTTTTCTACAAGCAGACATCCAGTTATTCCAGCACCATTTGTTGAAGATGCTTTTTTTTCTATAATATAATTTTGGCTTCTTTGTCAAAACTCAGGTGCCCATAGGTGTGTGGATTTATATCTGGGTCTTTGATTCAATTACATTGATCCATCTGTCTGTTCTTATGCCAATACCATGTGGTTTTTTTTTTTTTGTTTGTTTGTTTTTTTTTTTTTTTGGTTTTTCGAGACAGGGTTTCCCTGTGTAGCTTTGCGCCTTTTCCTGGAACTCACTTGGTTGCCCAGGCTGGCCTCGAACTCACAGAGATCCGCCTGGCTCTGCCTCCCGAGTGCTGGGATTAAAGGCGTGCGCCACCACTGCCCGGCCCCATGTGGTTTTTATTACTGTGGCTCTGTAGTAGAGCTTGAAATCAGAGGTGGTGATATCTCTAGAAGGTCTTTTATTGTACAAGATTGCTTTAGCTATCCTGGGTTTTTTGTTTTTTTCATATGAATTTGAGTTTTGTTCTTTCAAGGTCTGTAAAGAATTGTGCTGAGACTTCAATGAGGATTGCATTGAATCTGTAAATTGCTTTTGATAAGATGGCTATTTTTACTATGTTAATCCTACCAATCCATGAGCATGGGAGATCTTTCCATCTTCTGATATCTTCTCCAATTTCTTTCTTCAAAGACTTTTTTTTTTTTTTTTTTCCGAGACAGGATTTCTCTGTGTAGTTTTGCGCCTTTCCTGGAAATCATTTTGTAGATCAGGCTGGCCTCCAACTTACTGAGATCCGCCTGGCTCTGCCTCCGGAATGCTGGGATTAAAGGCATGCACCACCACTGTCCGGCAAGACTTGAAGTTCTTGTCACATAGGTCTTTCGCTTGCTTGGTTAGAGTTACACCAAAACATTTTACATTGTATGAGGCTATTGTGAAGGGTATGGATTCTTTCTTAGCCCATTTGTATATAGGAGGACTGCTGATTTTTTTGAGTTAATGTTGTATTCAACCACTTGACTAAAGATGCTTATCAGCTGTAGGATCTATCTGGTAGAATTTTGAGGGTTGCTTGTGTACACTATCATATCATCTGTAAATAAAGATACTTTAACTTCTTTCTTTCCAATTTGTATCCTTTTAATTTCCTTTATTGCTCTAGCTAGAACTTCAAATACAATATTGAATAGGTATGGAGAGAGTGGACAACCTAGCCTTGTTCCTGATTTTAATGGAATTGCTTTGAGTTTCTATTTAATTTGACATTGGCAAAACAACAACCTCCAGAATGGGAAAAGATCTTCACCAATCCCACATCTAATAGAGGGCTGATTTCAAAAGTATATAAAGAACTCAAGAAACTAAACATCAAAAAACTAACTAATCCAATTAAAAAATGGGATACAGATCTAAATAGAGAATTCTCAACAGAGAAATCACCAGTGGCTGCGAAATACTTTAAGAAATGTTCAACATCCTTAGCCATCAGGGAAATGCAAATCAAAATGACTCTGAGATTCCATCTTACACATGTCAGAATGGCTAATGTCAAAAAATATCTCCACTTTGAGAGTCAGTGTTGTGATTTCTTAGAAAACTGGAAATCAATCTACCACAAGACTCAGCTATAACACTCTTGGGCATATACCCAAAGGGTGCTCAATTATACCACATGGACACTTGCTCAACTATGTTCATAGCAGCTTTATTTGTAGTAGCCAGAACCTGAAAACAACCTAAATGTCTTTCAACCAAGGAATGGATAAAGAAAATGTGGTACATTTACACAATGGAGTACTACTCAGCTGTTAAAAAACAATGACTGATATCAAGAAATTTGCAGGCAAATGGATGAGACTAGAAAAAAAATCATCCTAAGTGAGGTAACCTAGACCCAGAAAGACAAACGTGGTAAGTACTCACTCATAAGTGGATATTAGCTGTAAAATAAAAGATAACCATGCTACTATCCACAGATCCAGAGATTCTAAGTAATAAGGAGGGCTCAAGGGGGGATACCTGGACCTCCCTGGGAAGGGGAAATAGAAGAGATTTCATGAATGGACTGCAGAAGAATGGGAATATGAGCTATTAGGTTGTGGAGAGATGTAGGGAGAGTACTGAAAGAGACTCCTGGAAAGGGGGAGGATTTTGGAGTCAGGTAGAAACTTGGCACAAGAGAATCTCCCAGGTATCTCCAAGGATGACCCCAGCTAAGACTCCTAGCAATAGTGGATATGCAGCCTGAACTGGTCATTTCCTGTGACCAGGCAAGACTTCAAGTGGAGGGGTTGGGATACTAACCCAGGGACGTAACCTTTGACCTACAGTCTGTCCTGCCTGTGGGATGTGCTGGGTTAAATGTGGCCTAGAAATTGAGGGAGTGACAAACCAATGACTGGCCTAGCCTAAAACCCATGCCAGGAGAGTAAGCCCACCCTGGACACTGCCTGGAGCACCAGGATCCACAGGCTGGATGATCCAGAGTCCTAGGATAGAACCAAACATGACTGGAGAAAAACTATCAGTGTAACGATGCCTAACAGTATTCTGGTATACTACTCACAGATTGGTGCCTAGCCCAATTATCATCAGAGAGGCTTCATCCAGCAACTGATGGAAACAGATGCAGACTCACAGCCTAACATTAGGAGGAGCTTGGGGAATCCTGCAGAAGAGGGGGAGAAAGGATTGTAGGAGTCAGAGGGATCAAGGACAGTATAAGAAAACCCACAGAATCAACTAATCTGGGCTCATAGGGGCTCACAGAGACTGAATCAACAACCAGGGAGCCTTCATGGGACTGACCTAGGCACTCTGCATATACGTTACAGTTGTGTAATTTGGTCCTCTTGTGAGAATCCTAACAATGGAAGCAGGGGCTGTCTCTAACTCTTTTACTTGCTTTTGGAACCCTACTTCTCATACTGGGTCACTTTGCCCAGCCATAACACATGGGGAGATGCTTAGTCTTCCTGCAACTTGAAATGCCATGATTTGTTGATATTTATGGGTGGCCTGTCTTTTCCTTAACAGAAATGGAGGAGAAATGGATTGGGGCATGGGGACAGAGGGGTGGTGGTGGTGGGTTGGGAGGAGAGGAGGGAGGGGAAACTGTGGCTGGGATGTAAAATAAATAAATAAATAAATTTAAAAAATTACAGAACTTCCAATATTCAAGAGAACAACCTGATCCTTTTACCATGTGAGGATATAACCAAAAGTTATCATCTGTGAGAAATGAGTCCTCACCAATTTTATGTTATACTACTATCACCTTGATCACAACCTCTACAGTTTTGAAAAACAATTCTCTGCTGTTTGTGGTGTATGTATAGTTTCCCCCATCTATGGTATTTTGTTACAGCTTCCCAAGTGAACTATTAGAAGATGAAGAGTGTTTAGTTACATCAGTTGTCTCATCAATGAACTGGACTTGTGGGCATTGTGGACCTGGATGAAGTGTGGACATGGATGAAGTGTGGACTTCAGTGAAAGCAAGATATGTCATCTCAACATTCATGTATGTCCAGTGCAAAGATAGTGTCTTAGTTAGGGTTTCTATTGTTCTGATTAAGCACCATGACCAAAACCAACTTTGGGAAGAAAGGATTTATATCATCTTACTGCTTGCAGTCCATCATTTAGGGAATCTATGCCAGGATCTCAGTGTAAGAACCTGGAGGCAGGAACGGAAGGAAGCAGGAACTGGAGGAGTGTGGCTCACTGGTTCTTATAGCTGCCAGGACCACCAGCCCAAAGACTGCACCTCCTGCAGTGAGATTAGCCCTTACGCATCAATTATCAATTAAGAAAATGGCCCACAGATTTGCCCACAGGCCAATCTAGTGAGGGAATTTTCTCACTGAGGTTCCCTTTTATATCAAGCTAGCCAGCACAGATAGTTTCTTGCCATATTACCATATATGTTATTGTCATCACCATTGTGTAAGTAGGAGACAAGGTAATAAGCATCAGTTTGAATTCTGGGACCACTGGTAACTAACTCTAAACCTTGGTATCGTCATCTATAAGAAGTAAAGCACTGAACTCACTGGTCAGTGCAGAAGATAGCCCCTCCCCCCCCAGCATTGCTACTGTAGTTCTTGGTATTTGATACATACTTACTAATCATTAGTCAAGACTTTGGTTGTTTTTCTAACATGTGCACTGGTTCTCATTATTCATAGTATTCATGTTCTCTTACATTACTTGAACAGTCAATTAGCACCTCCTGAGTCATTGTTTCTGAAGATGATATAGGGTTAAGGCATTTTGAACCTTGGGCCACGTCTTTGTCAATGAATACATAATCCTGTTTTATATATGTTTCTGTTTAAAGACACCTTATTACATATGCATAAATAAAATATGCGTTATTAACTTACTGACTTTATACTCATCCTAGAATCCACACAGATTGAATATTATCTAACACATATGTTCTCTGTGCTCTCATTCCAGAAGCATTTCAGCATTATAATTGGGACCAATTAAACAGAAAGTCACCGAAACCCCAAATGACACTTTGGATATTATGAAGAAGGCAGAGCATGAGCTTTAACCTTAGCTGGGAATTTGTTTGCTGGGTGAGTTAAAGTTTTTGGAGTTTTGAAGAAGGTATAAAAAATTATTTAGAGAGTTGCATAATATTCATTTGAATAGAAATAAATTGTAATCGAATTTATAACCATAAGATTCATGAATAACGATAACTGCCTACATCGGGTGACCAGTACCTAGTGATCGAAGGACTATTTATCTGTGATGAAACAGGAAAGTATCAGGAAAAGCAGCTCATTCCATCCTTGGCCAGAGCTTTTACAGAGCTTGCCAAGTTCTGCCCCATGGGACCTTGAAGAAGCACTTCAACATTCCTTTAAAATGACAGCTATTCATATCCTGGAAGACACTGTTGTCTCTCCTTGGACTGAACAGTAGGTTAAGCAGCCCCTTTTCCTGTAGCTATTCTCCATATGATAATTCTACGATTGCCCTCCCTGTCCCTGTTGCCCTTCCAGAAGACCTTCAGTATTTCAACATCTTTTTTCTTCTATTGTTTTTGAGACTATAATATAATTACATCATTTCTCCCTTTCTTTTTTTTTCTCTTCAACCCTTCTCATATACCCCTTGGCTCTCTTTCAAATCCATGGCCTTTGTTTTTATTGATTCTTGTCACATGTGAGTACACACACACACACACACACACACACATTCCCCAATATAGCCCAATCAGTCTGTTCAATGCTACCTGGCTATATGTTTTCAGGGCTGACCACTGGTATTAGATAACCAATTGGTGTGCTCTTCCCAGGGGAAGACTATTGCTCTCATTCCCAGCATTCCTCAGTTGCCTGTAGCTCTTTGCTTAGGCTTGTGGCCCTGTGGGATTTTCCCTGACCACTTTGGCATGGCTGTTGGTGTCATCTTTGTTGAGCTCACACTTGGGCAGCCATGTTGTTGAGACTCCATGAATGTAGCTTCTGACATTCCTAGGAGACACAGTCTCACAGCACACCCCCTGATCCTCCGGGTCTTACCATCCTTGGATATCTTTTTTAAAGCGAGGAGCTCTGGACTAAAGATGAGCACATGAATGCCAGGTGAAGTCTGACCATAGCTCCACAGAAAAGTGGCAGTTAACTCTCACATTCTCTCTTTGACTAAATTTTTTTTTCAGAATTTGAATGGAAGAGACTGTTGATATCCAGACAGTAAACACCCATGCTTCTTACCATTCCTGTGCCTCATGCATCTAGGCAGGACCATATACATGCTTTTTGCCTGTGGATCACAAGTGGCGATGGTGTTATGCACTGGTAAGCCTCTAATGTGTCTCAAAGAATTCCCAGTAGCCACTTTAGGAGCAACAAGGTAAAAGCAGCCCTGAGTTCCGAGGGACCATAGGTGGAGAGCTGAGCATAAGGGCTGTCTCACCTGCCCTGAGACCTGCACAACTGAAAGAATCTCCGTTTTATTTTTTCAAACAGCACATAGTCTTAATTTGTATCACACACATAACTCACAAAGCCTTTTTGATAGTCATAGTACCCTGCCAATACATCCACTTAGATGAAGTCAACAAATTTTTTATTTTTGGATAGAAGTCCAAGTACTACGTTTATTTTTATTAGATTTTATTTATTTATTTAGCTATAGCAAATCTTTTTCCAGCTTCTCAAAAAAAAAAAACTTCTGTTATTTTTTCCAATCTTGTATCTTCTGCAAATGGATAATTCTTTAAATTCATAGGTAAACACTTTATTATTCAATGCCTTGGAGTTAGCATTTGGGCAAACAAGATGCAAATTATATATCTTGTCCAATACAGATTATTTTTCCATGTGAATTATTCATCAGTGCTGGTGATGGTCAATTTTCTTCAGTTCCCCTCTCTTTTGTATGCTTTTTGTCTATTCTGGTTTGTATGTTTTGATTGTATTTTCCAAGGATTCCTACATTTTGTTCTACTGTGAGGAATTATGAGGATGGGAACTTTATCTGACTGTGTAATTAAGGGTTTGAGGTCTTTGGAAATAGAATTAGATAAGTAATCATGGCAGAATTCCCTTGATTGATTGCTGGTGGCTTTATGAAGGACATCCCAGAAGACACAAGCACACAGACTTCCTGTCTCTTGGGTGATGCTCTATAAAACCTGAATACTCTGCCAGCAAGAAGGCCATCACATCGTCTAGGCCTTTGAACTGTCAGAACTGTGAGCTGAATACACTTCTTTTCTTTGTAATGATAGCCAGATGCATTTTTTTTAAATAACAGTAATACAAAATTGACTAATAGACTTCCCTTCAGCAGTCATTATTTTATCTGTTGCATGGAGTCAATGCATTAAAGATGCCTCAGACAACCTCACACAGTCCTCATGTGATCCTGACATGGGGCACTAACATGTAGTTGGTTTAAATTCGCTAATAATAAATGCCAAGTCACCAATAATGCCTTGGTGTTGTGTTAAGGAAGGAACCTGAAGTACTTTCCCTTGGTATCATTTAAGCTAGTGTAAGCCCAGATTTGAATTCTCTACTTTGCTTGCCCTGCGTCTTCTACATTTCTGCTGTGCGGGCCTGAATGTGTGTCTGCCTGAGTGACTCCCCGCCACCATGTGTGTATGTTTCTGTCCCTAACAAAGGACTTTGCTCTCTATTTATTGAACAGCGCGGAAAGCATCACAAGATGAAGGAATGATGAAGGATACTTTACAGCAAAATACATGAACAGTTTTACAAGGGATTAAGTCCCTGACTCTAACGGACCCCAATAACAAACTGTACTACAAATATCATTGTTTGCTAAGCAATATCTGAATGTTGCAGTCAACATTCATCTCTACTAGATTTTACTTTTTTTAGCTATAGCAAGTTTCTTTCCAGATCCTCACAAACTTCTGTTATCTTTTCTGATCTTGTATCTTCTGCAAATCAATAAAATTGTTTAAATTCACAGGTAAACACTTTATTACCCAATGCCCTGGACTTAGTTACTCATTTTACAAGATTGGTCCCAACATTTGTTGTTCCTGTTATCAGCAAATGATTATTAGAACACACATGGATTAATTTAGGTTGTAAAATTTCTCTACATGAAAATCCAAGGCAAATGAGGTTGGTTGTTACACTGTTCTCCTCTTAAACACAAGTTAAGCAAAGGGGCTGAGCACACAGTAGAACAGCAGTCTTAAGTCTTAAGGGACCTACAGGTGTATTATTAACTCTGACTGTGAGGTCCAGCAACAGTTCCAGGCTCTTAGTACATAAGAGATATTTGTATAATATTACATGGCCACAGTCTGTTTCTTTTTTCCCTTTACCATTTATTTTAGCCCCTAGAAAACGTATTTTCTCTTCGTGAGAAAAGTTCTTGTCAGTAGAACTGGAATATGCATTCTGGATTCTGATGCTGAGGGCTCAGGGATAAAAACCTGACTTTTGACATCATCTACAAAGAAAAGTCCTGCACTGGTTTTTCTAAAATCTTCACTGTTATTTAAAAAGAGGTTAAAAAACACTGTGATGTGATGTATTTTGAGCCCAGTGGAAAGAGACCTGACCCCAGAATTTGATAGAAGACAGTGGTCTTTCCAGTGGTGAGTTTAATGGTTTTGGTAAAATGCCTCAACTTTCATAAACTTCAGGGATGCTTTATTTTATTTTATTTTTGCTTTATTTGTCTCAAATATATAAATAGGAATAACTTCTATCCTGGATATCCCCAGGACTGGTGATGATTGATGAATAAATGCTGTCCCAATGCTTAAGCCTGGATGGATATCACTGTAGGTACTCTCTGGCCCAAAGACATATCTTATGTCTTTCCACAGGAGCCTGTGTCCCCTCACAGATCAGGAGAAGTGGGTGGGGGTCAGTAGATTTGAAGTAATTTGTCTGCATCTCAGATATTATCCTGTAAGTCTGTCTCAGGAAGAGAGAAATACTTCCCACAGACCGTTTTAGACCTAGTCTCACTGAAGTTTCATTCCTCAGGGGCAAGAGAGGGCTGCGGTTCTGAGTTGGCACCACTGTTATTCAGCAGACTCGGCAGTGGACTTTTCTACTGTCTCTTCTAGGTTTTCCTGACAAGAATGCTATAGGGCCATAGGGCCATATCTTTAGGGTGTCTTTAGGGCATCAATGGCCAGATACTCTTCAATGAATAGTAATAATACATCTCATTTTTATTCTATTTCTACAATTTAGATCTGTTCCAGAAAGGCTTCGGGGAGAAGCCACAAAGTAAGTTTGAGTATCACTTTGTTAACTTGTCACACACTGAGAAGAATTCTCTAGACTCTGTCAGTCTTCCAGGGATGCATGTGTCTATGTTCCTAAATGTAAAGTCATCCTTTAGGTTGTGTGACATCAAATAGCTATTGGGAGATGTGTAGCTTTTGTATGTGCCTTTGTGAACAGGCTCTAAAACAGTGGTTCTCAACCTGTGGGTCATGACCCCTTTTGGGGGTGAGTTGAATGACCCTTTCACAGGGGTCACTTAAGATCATCAGAAATATTTACATTATGATTCATAACAGTAGCAAAATTACAGTTATGAAGTAGCAACAAAAAATAATTTCATGGTGGGGGGGTCACCACAGCATGAGGAGCTGTATTAAAGGGTTGTAGCATTAGGAAGGTTGAGAACCCCTGCTCTAAATGCTGAAGACAGGAACACGGCAGGGCAGTGGAGAAACACAGTGCATGGTATAGGTACAGCAGACGGATTAGCACAGCTCAGGGGAAGGTGAGGTTGATAAAAGGGTGTGACCTATTTCTTTTACGTCTTCAGCTTTCTAGCCCACTCTTGTTTCAGAACTCTGGTATAATCCTCGATCAGCTTTACCCAAATGAAACCACTACAGTCTTCAACCCCAAGCTCTCGTTTCCTGACATCAGCGCCTCATTTGCTATGTGGTCCCTTCCCTTGATAAGCTCAACGTGAATTTGGTGATGACAACCGCAACTATTGCTTCATAGGAGCTTTCTATGCATTAGGTGTTGCTTACAGCACTTCACTGATGTCAGAGTCCTCAGTCCTTCCAGTGTCAATGTGATCTAAGAACACAGGAGAGAAATAAATGTCTGTGAAGACACCTATGTCTACCAGCTCTACTAGTTCATGGTGAAGCTAAGCTCTAGAACTCAGTCTGTTCATCCCCCAAGCCATGCTGTTCCTAATAATTCTATATTGCCTTCTTTAGGAGAGAAGGTGATGATTTCAGTTTTTGAGGGAAAATTTCGCTGTGCAGTTCACCCTGCTTCAAACTCTCCATCCTAAGCTTGCTGAGTGTTGGGATGGCAAGTGTGCACCTCTGTACTGGCGTTTAAGACACATTAGATGCCGAATGTGGTGGCACAGTCCTGTAATCCCAGCACCTCTGAAGCAGAAGCAAGAGGATCACTTTAAGTCTGAGACCAGCCTGGGATACCTAGTGAATTCTGGGCCAGCCTGGGCTACATAGTTAATTTCTGGATAGCCAGGGATACATAATGAGACCACTGTCTCAGAAGCAAAAACAAAAAAAGTAAGTAATCCACAGGTTATATTATGTATTTAGAATACATATGTATGTGCATGTATGTATGTATGTATGAAACAACAATTAATGAAAAGGAGTCCATGAATTTGAAGGAGTGATACATGAGAGGGTTTGGAGGGTGAAAAGGAAGGGAAAAATGATGTAATCATATTATAACCTCAAAAATAAATACACGTTTCTTAAAAGATATATATCTTTTTTTCCTCAAGACAGGAGCTCACTATGTAGCTCTGACTGACCTGGAACTCACTATATAGACCAGGTTTTCTTTGAACTTACAGAGATCCACAAGCCTCTGCCTACGGGTGCTGGGATTAAAGGTGTGCACCACTACATCCAGCTAAAAAGAGACAATAGACACATCCTCTCCAGACAGCAGACTAGCACCTTTCAGTATTCCGGGTTTTCTCAGCTCCTTCACATAATGCTGAGCTGAGCTTCGTCTGCCTTGGTTTGTCCTCCAAGGACATTGCTTCCTCTGTAGCTAGTCTGTAGGCACTGCAGGAGACACACAGTTAGGTAGATCGATAGTGGCACATGTAGGCTGCCCTAGGTGGCTCAGGCTCTTAAACCAGTCACCACCCTCAGGGTGGGTAACAGCAGGCACATTTCTGAAGTCTGAATGTCCAAGGTCAAGGTGGAAGACTTGGTGACTCTTGGTTTGCAGATGGCTATGGTTCTGTATTTTTCTTTATATCTTTATAGGGGGAGGGATGGAGAGAGGATGGAGAACTGGAGGAAAAGGGAATATCTAGTCCTTGTCGTACAAGAACGTGAATGCCTCATTCCCTTTAGCTCCTTCTGCACTCCAGAATGCTGACTCTCCACCTGCACTTTCCTGTTTCCCATCACAAAGTGCTGTCTTATTTTCCCTGCTTCTGCTTGACCCATTCGTTACCCCATTTTTCTTCCTGGTTCCCAGAGCCAGGACCATAATTTCTGCTCTCTAATGCCTCTTGGGCCTCTCTTGACATCAGTCATCACTTCTGTGTTAGATCTGCGCTCACAATCCTACCTTTGCTCCAACTATGCATGTCCACCT